ATACATGTTTTTTTCAGCATTCTTTACTGTGTGGTGTTTCCTCCTCTCCATGCCATACCCAATTTTTGTTTGTCCGTAAGAATGTGGGGTTTGTTTTGCACCGTGCCTTCATTTCAACTGTATTTTCTAATTTTCGTTTGGTCTGTGGTGGCTTCTTTTTGTGCACATTTTTATTTCCTTTCATTTTTAGTAATTATGAGCGACTAATTTTGCGTTATTTCCTGTTTGGTTCCTGCATTACGGTTCTTTTTGCGTCCGTAGATTTTATTTATGACAAGCTAAATAAGCGCCTGTCTTCCCAGGCGATTATTTTGGCCCTCCTCCGTGGAAGACAAAAAAAAATAAAAAAAATGGTTCTGGCAGTCTATGTGTTAATGTTCCTCAAAATAGCACGATTCATGAAATGTACGGAACATTGGTCTCCACAAGGCGAGACAGTAACCTTCCGAGGGGTTCGTTTCTCCTACTGGGCCCTACTGGAACTGGTAAGACAAATATTTTCAGGGTCGTTGCCGAGCATTGGTACTGTGGTGCGAGCAGGCTTGTAGAGATTGACTTATCAGATTAGAGAAACAACCGAATGGTATTTTGCTATATAAACTCTGAAAAATATCATTTGTTTTGGGGTCTCTATGCTATTGGTGACCGCAGTTTTTCTTTTTCTGTCTGTTTAGTTCGACGATAAGCATGAGGACTTTTGGGGCCGTCTTGTGGGAGTTGTGTCGAGACGTCCTTACTCGATGTTTGTTATAGGCAAGATCGAGAAGGCCTCTCCTTCTATTACAAGGGTTCTCCTCGAGCTTTTGTGCCGTGAAGATCAGGCAAGTGATGTTGTCGACTTCTCTAACTTGCTCATCTTAATGACATTAGGTGTGGGGTCCGATCAACTTGATTTGTGATGTTTGTGACATAACTGAAATGAAGTTCTTTGGAACCAGTTCTCGATTATTCCGTACATATTCCGTATGACTCACGATTGTGTTTTAAAAGGCAGTGGCCCCGAAAGAGCTCTTTCCGAGGTACAAAATAAATGTCTTTGATCTCTTATTTTATTTATTTGTACTAAAAAAAAAAAGGAAAAAATGAAATAAATCAATTAGATCATGTTCTCACTGATTTCCTTTTCTTCTTAATATGTAGGCGAAACCGTTGTTGGGCAATGACCTGGTCGATAAAGTTTTTTATTTTCAAGAGGTTCTTGAATTACAAGAGTATTCTGGCTGCTTATGAGGAAAATTGTTAGCCAACCATTTGGAGACAAAAGACTCATTGTGTATGCCTATGATGAAGTGCTAACTTTTTTATTCCATGATGCTCTACATAAGTTTGTGACTAGATACTCATGTTCGCCCTGACATGGTTTTGAGTGTATTGATTTGCTAATCTTTTTTTCTCTCTCACTTTTTTTTTTGGCTCTTTGCAGGGTAAAGGTGGGACGGCTTTAGAAAAAGCTTTGCTTGAGCACATCATTCCATGGCTAACAACCGTAGATGACCTTAAAACAAGATATGTTGCAGGTTGATAAATTTGTCGTGGTACGTTAACTATTGTTTAGCTTCCAAGAACAAGAAACATGTGAGGACGATTGGTATTTCATGTTCAAGGACGGGATCTTTGATAAATTGATTGCCAATGTAAGGATGAAAGTGGAATCCATGCACTGGATATCCTACACTAATTTCAAAGGTCTAAGGTAAATTAGATCTACTGTGAACCCAACTCTCCTTCCTAGAGTAAGAAGAGACCCTTGGCGCTGTTAAATGTTTTTTTTTAATACTTTTCCTCCCTCAAAGTGATGTTTCACATGTTTTATGCATGTTTCGCATGCTTATATATGAACTATTTAAAGTCCATATCTTTTAACTTTAGTTAATAGATTTTTATAGTCAGTGGATGAGCGCGAGATGTGCGCAAGGATAGTCTACTGCACAAACATTGATAAGAGGGTAGAAAATAGCATCTTCCTTGTTTGTTTCTTTCGTTTTTTTTCTGGGTCATTATATGTGTTGCTACTTGCACCCAAAGGGTTGATGTTCGATATTGAGATTTACATTTTTGCCTAATATCCAAGGTTCTGAGAATGAGAGGTAACTGAATGGTTCTGAAATTTAGCCTAATTATCAAGCTTAAATGGTTCATAGATTCAACAGTGGTTGAACATATGGTAACTGGTAAGTGATTTAAATGCAAGTATTATATCATATTCAAGTTTCGAAATAGTTGCAGTAAAAGGATTAGAGGATTTGTTTTTTTTTTAAGAGAGACCAATAATATTAATACAGGAAAGATGTGATTAGACTAAAACTCAGGTGGTTTTGTAATTATGCAATATTTTAAACCGATGAGAAATGTTGTCATTGTTATTAGAAAAATGCTCTTGTTGTCACCAGTGACATAGAAGCTGGTTATCTTTAAAACAAGTTCATATGATATTTGTGAGCAGGTTACTCAAGTTGATGTCAAGAATTTCTTCGAAACAAGATGTCGGACTGATCTCGACATCACTAATCAGCCATTGACCCTCTCCACTACCGAGTCTCAGCCGCACGGCGAGCCTTTGAAGCAGCCAATCTCACTGACGCCACGACAGTCGGCACCCCAATCAATAGGGCCGACGTCACCACAAAGCTGACCACAGCCAACTGTGAACCCGACGTGAATCGAACATAGCTCAGGTTCCACGGCGCCACCCGGGCCGATATCAAATCTCCACATGACAACAGCCAACTGTGAACCCGATGTGAATCGAACATAGCTCAGGTTCCACGGCGCCACCCGGGCCGAGTTCAAATTTCCACACATAACAGCCGACCTCACAGATGGGCCGACCTCTAAAATTGCAATCGACCCAACCTCACCTTGTCGGAACCTCGAAAACACGACTTCGGTCGTCGGGGCCTTCCACAACCGACCTCCGCGGCAGGGCCCAAGCTCGAATCTCTAAACCACGGCCGACCTCCATTTAACTCCGTCAAAGCCCGACCGAAACCATGGCCGACTTCTGATTTACACCCCGAGGCTCGACTGCTAAGACCTCCAAATCAACACCCTCCTCACCAACCGGTCTCCAAACCAAATTGGTTGACGAGCTCAGGTTCAAAATCTGCCACAGCCTTGTTAATTACGCGAGAGAACACCTAAGTGGGGATAGGGATGGAACGAGGTTATCTTTTGTATTGTAATAAGATTTGGGCCTATAGTGGAAATGGGCTGATAAATGAATGTGAAGGCTTGTAATATTATATAGAAAATGTAAAAGGTAAGGGCTATAAAAGTGTTGTAATAGATAGACTGGGCGAAGCAAACAAACAAAATCACGAAGTCGAGGAGCTCGGCGGAGATCTGAAGAATAGAGGTAAAAGAGGAGCTGACATCTCCATACGACAATATTCTTAGGCTGAGATCTGAAGAATAGAGGTAAAAGAGGAGCTGACATCTCCATACGACAATATTCTTAGGCCTATACTCTGCACCGGCTTGAGGTAATCCTACTCTCAATTTCGCTTTAAATACATATGTATTTAAATGAGCATTTTTGAAGAAAAAATAAATAAATAAGGTTGAAATATGTGATTACAAAAAAAAAAGTAAAAAAATCAACATTAAAAAACGTAACAATCGAACTAAACACTCAGTTTTATAAATCACAATTGAAACCATTAAAAGATCGAAAGAGTAAACCAATATAAATCTTTTCAAAAAAGTATTTAAAAATGTAAAATATAATAATTGTTAGTATATTTTTTAATAAATACATAATATTATTAATTAAAATTAAAATATCATAGATAATAATTTTTAATAAATAATATATTATAAATATTTTTTGCATTTATATATATAAATATTTTATATATTATAAAGAGATAGCCCAATGGGCCCCTGGGCCTCATTTAAATCCGTCCGTGGGTAGCTTTGTCTCCACTCTTTCATTATTTATTTCATTTCATTAATACTTCTCTCACTTCAAGCTAAGCCTGCTTAGATCTTCCTCCTTCCATATTCATTATTCCAAATGGCAGAGAACCAAATAGTCGATGAAAATGCGGACAAGGTCGATTTTGAACAAACGATTCAACAATGCAAGAACATGAGTTGTAATGCTATCCATCTTAGCATGGATGTGCTCGAGCATGAGTCCGGTAACCAATATGTCCTCTGGAACTTGTTTGTGGTGTTGATAAGGAAGATGATTAGCTTGGGAAATAACCACGACGTATACATCGTCATACGCAAATGTGACTTGTACAAGTTGGGCTGAACTGTGGCTTTTAGAAACGACCATTTAAACGAGACGATGATGAAAAGCATTTTTCCTGGTCACAATGATTGCAATTGTTTAGCCTTCGATGCATCATACGGGCTCTCGGACATTATGGCGAAGGAAATGTACCCATTGGGCTTGGGATTGAAGGCTTGAGGTCTGTCCTGTCGTATCTAAGGTCTTGCGTCTCCGTCGCACCACTAAATCTAAACTCAAAACAATTTCAAGGTTGTTTTTGTTTACCCTCCCGATAATATCGAAAGCTTGTCGATTGAGGAGACTACATAAATCTTTGGCTGCTTGAACCAATTGAAGGAGTTTAACATGTTTACGAAGAAACCATAATTGACGGCAGTTGCGAACATAATTGAGGACATATGTCGGAGAGAGCTCATACATGTCTTATCTCGACACTTCATTTGCTCCTGTTGTGACGCTAATGTAGGAGAAGATGGATGAATGATAGAAATTAGTACGACTCGAAAGATTAGTGAGTATGTTCACACTCTCTCTCAAAGCCTAGGTTAATATTTTGTTATTTGTGTATCAAATGCATAAATGCAAGCTTCATCACGGAATTGTAACCAAACACAAATAACAAAATACTAACCTAGGGCTTTGAGAGTGTGAACATACTCAATAATCTTTCGAGTCGTGCTAACTTCTATAATTCCTCCATCTTCTCCTACATTGAGCATGACAACCGGAGCAAATGAATCGTCGAGATAATGGCATGTATGAGTTCTCTTCGACATATGTCCTCAATTATGTTCGCAACTGCCGTCAAGTATGGTTTCTTCGTAAACATGGTAAACTCCTTCAATTGGTTACTGTGGCAAAAAATCTATGTAGCATCCTCAACCGACAAGCTTTCGATATTATCGGGAGGGTAAACAAAAACAACATTAAAATTGTTTTGAGTTTAGATATAGTGGTGCGACGGAGATGCGAGACCTCAGATATGAGAGACCTTAAGCCGTCAATGTCAATCTCAAGCCCAAAGGGTACATCTCCTCCGCCATAGTGTCCGAGAGCGCCGTATGATGCATCGAAGGCTAGGCTATTGCAATCATTGTGACCAAGAAAAATGCTTTTCATTAGCGTTTCTTTAAATGGTTGTCTCTGAAAAGCCACAGCTCCGCCCTTTTACAACCCAACTGGTACAAGTTACATTTGCGTATGACGATGTATACGTTGTGGTTATTTCCCTTGCTGATCGTCCTCCTTATCAGCACCACAAAATAGTTCTGGAGGACATGTTGGTTACTGGGCTCATGCTTGAGTACATCAATGCCAAGATGGGCGGGCATTATAACTCACGATCTTGCATTGTTGAATCATTTGTTCATAATCGGTCTTGTCCGGCAATATCATATGTAAAGACATTATCATTTTCATCGACTATTTGGTTCTTTGGCATATGGAAGGAGGAAGATCTCAGCAGGCGTAGCTTGAAGTGAGAGAAGTATGAATGAAATGGAAGAAATAATGAAAGGACCGAGACAAAGCTACACAGGGACGGATTTAGGCCCCTCTTTTTATTTTATTTTTATTTTTATATATGTATATATAAAGAAATTAAAATATTGATTTTTATTTTTATATAAATGCAAAAAATATCTATAATAGATTAATAATTAAAATATTTTTTTTATGATATTTTAATTAATAATATTATTTATTTATTAAATAATTTACTAAAAATTATTATAATTTACATTTTTAAATAATTTTTTGAAAAAATTTATATTGATTTACTTTTTCGGTCTCGTAATGGTAAATCAATTTTGTGATTTATAAAACCGAGTATTTAGTTGGATTGTTACAGTTTTTCATGTTGATTTCTTACCTCTTTTTTTTTTGTGTAATCACATATTTCAACTTTATTTATTTATTTTTTCAACTTTATTTTTTTCTTAAATACATATGCATTTAAAGAGAAATTGAGAGTGAGATTACCTCCAGTGTAGGCTTAAGAATATTATCTACACTTAAGAATATTATCGTTTGGAGAAGTCGGCTCCTCTTTTACCTCTATTCTTCAGATCTCCGCCGAGCTCCTCGACTTAGTGATTTTGGTTGTTTGCTCCAGCCTAGTTCTATATATTACAACACTTTTAGGGCCCTTACTTTTTACATTTTCTATATGAGATAATGGCGTCTTATGCATCTATATATTAATTATTTATATTTTTGCAATTCATTATCTATCTTTACTACTTTTTTTTTATTTTTCCCTTTCATAAATCTCTTTCTCTCTCCTTTATTCCATCGTTTTCTTCTCCTGCAGTCCTCGTCTTTTTCTTTCTTCTTTATTTTCATTCAAACTCTCAAATTTCTTCTTTAAATTTCCTTCTTTTTCTTCCAATCTATTCGCAGGTCATCCGAAATTTTTTATTTTTTTTTTCTGAAATTTCTACAGTTTTTTTTAATAAACGACTGAAATTTGTCAAAATTAGAGATTTGGGGGACATTAAGATCTTCTACGAATTGGGGAATGGCGCGGGCTCGAGGGGATGGTTGAGGTCATCGGAGTGGGGATGCCGAGGTTGCCGAAGGAGAAATTGAAATCGAGGCCCTTGAGGACCCCAACGTAGTCGATCGCGTCGTCGACATTTGGACCACCGCCGCTGATCAAGAGGTCCTCGGAGAAGAAGGTGACATCGAGAGGGGGGTTGTGGAGGCCGTCGATCGGCGACGATCTCCGGTGAGTTGGCTGTCAAATTCAACTCAACGGAATTCTTTTAGTGACATTGTGAAAACGAAAAAATCGTTGGGCAGAGGACATTGGGTTTCATTGTCCATCATATGCAGTTGAAGATTTGTAATCATGTTGGAATTTTAATACTTCTACTGGGATTATCAGACATTGTAATGGAAATTAGTTTCACATTATGTGGTTAAATGAAATTCCTTAAGGATTCTTGTTTTGATGTCTTGTTTAATAATGGTATTTTGTGTGTATGCATTTGTCTGTATTTCAAGCTTTGGTTGACATTGGCATTTTGTTAAAGCATTTAGGTGTGCATGGTTCATAAGGTGGTGTTTAATGGGTTTTATTTGGTTGAATTTAAGTTTGGTTTTTTCGATGTCTACAAGTTTGAAGTCGTTTTGATGAGTTTCATGGTAGAGACTCCTATGAACAAATTATTTTTTTTACTAATTGTATTTTAGAGTTAAACTTTACAGTGAAATTGTTTTTTCTATTAAGTGAATGTGTAGTTGCTTAGTGGTTGTTTTTAGTATTTTTCTTTTTTTGTATTATTTTGTATGTTCATGGGATTAGTAGTGTATTTCTAGTTTTTTTTCCTTGTTCAACAAAAGTTTTTGAGACAGGGGCACTGATACACATTTTTTTCTCCAGTCTGTTGTAAACAAAAAATAATTGTATTAAATCAATTAATTGATTTATTATAATTAATATTTTTGTATATTATAAAAAATCAAATTAAATACATACTCTTTTTATATATAACATACGGTACAGATTTGAATTTGTTTCCACATGTTTCTCCTCTTCAAACTTTTATATATAACATACGGTACAGATTTGAATTTTTTTCAACTTCCTCCTGTATTTTGATTTTTTTTTTTTATAAAAAATCTTAATGATTTATTTTCTTAAGGCCTACCTCGTTAAAAATTTTCATCTAAATCTTTCAACAACACTTCTCGATTGAAAATCATGATATCTTAATCATTGAAAAATAAAAAATCTTTTTTTTTTATTATTATTATGAACATGTACCACCTATATTTTTTTTCTGACGCTTAGAGCATCCACAATGCTTTGGGTCTCTTTTTATATATGTGGCATATAATTGAACTTGAGTTTTAAATGACATGAACAAACCCAAGTAAAAAAACTAAAAAACTTTGCAATGCAAAAATAAAGAGACTAGGTCTAGCATACATGCCAACCAATAGAAAAGCTCTAATATGTTTTATTCATTAAAAAAAAATTAAATTAAGAACAAATGATGAGTGTTTGGGTTTGTACTTGGGTCCAAAATAGACCCAAGTGTGGACTTAGTCTCTTTTTTTCATTGCCACATAAGCTAGACCATGTCCACTTTTAATTGCATTGGGAAGTATTTTTTTATAGACTAAGTCTATTTCCCATGTGGCATGTGATTTTTTGTTAAGAGACCCAAAACATTGTGGGTGCTCTTAGTGGCATTTTTGAGTTTTAATGTCTCCTAAATGAATTGTCATTTAGTTTACTTTTGAGTTAATTTTTCAAATTTTGCATTTTGAGTTTTATTGTCTCCCAAATGAATTGTCAATTTTGTTTCTGTTTATTTATCAAAATCTGAAACTTTATATGGCAAAGTTGAAAAAATAGATTACATAAGGATGCTAAAATATTTTTTCACAAGGTAATTGTTGTTTTAGTACTTGTACTATGAGGTAATTATGATTTTGGTACCTATTCTTTATTTATTGCGAAAATACAACATGACCTTTACGTTTTTGTGAATTTGGTACCTAGTATTGACGTCGGTTTGCATGACTTTATGTTTCCGGCTCGTTCGAACTCGGAATTGAGTTCCATTTTTTTCTACGCGTCGCCAACGAACCCCTCTATTCAATGATGCTTTTATGACCAAATTTTTTTTGAAATACTATTCTCCCAAAGCTTATGACCAGCACACCAAAGACGTGCTTCGCGCGACTTCGCGTTTTAGGCCCGTTCTAGCTCGTCCAAACATGGAATTGAGTTTCGCTTTTTTCTACATGTCGCAACGAACCCTTCTACTCAACCATGGTTGCCCGGTCAATTTTTGGGCCAAATTTATTCCTCACGGAGCTTCCAACCTGCACACTAAAAACAAGAAGAAAAACAAAAAAAACACACGACACAATAAACTACAAAAACGAATAAAACCCAACGAAAAGTTCTAAAACGGGGAAAAAATAGTAACAAAATAATAGGAAAAAACGTAAAAAAAATAGAACAAACACTTGCCAAAACTCCATCACTACTAGTTTTTAATTTTTTGTCAATTCAAACAGTTAAGCTTTTTGGAGAATTTGAAATAGTAGTGATGGAGTTTTTGTAAGTGTTTATTCTATTTTTTTTTACGTTTTTTCTTATTTTTTTTCACTATTTTTCTCCCGTTTTAGGACTTTTCGTTGGGTTTTATTCGTTTTTGTAGTTTATTGTGTCGTGTGTTTTTTTTGTTTTTCTTCTTGTTTTTAGTGTGCAGGTTGGAAGCCCCGTGAGGAATAAATTTGGCCCGAAAATTGACCGGGAAACCATGGTTGAGTAGAAGGGTTCGTTGGCGACATGTAGAAAAAAGCGGAACTCAATTCCAAGTTTGGACGAGTTCGAACGGGCCCAAAACGCGAAGTCGCGCGAAACACGTCTTTGGTGTGCTGATCATAAGCTTTGGGAGAATAGTATTTCAAGAATAATTTGTTCATAATAGAGGAGTTCGTTGGCGACGCGTAGAAAAAAACGGAACTCAATTCCAAGTTCGAACGAGCCCAAACGAGTCTGAAACGTAAAGTTATGCAAATCAACGTCAATACTAGGTACCAAATTCAAAAAAACGTAAAGGTCATATTGTATTTTTGCAATAAATAAAGAATAAGTACCAAAATCACAATTACCCCATGTATTAAAATAACAATTACCCTTTTTCACACAATTATCTATTTATTTGTTATAATATCAAAGTCGTACGTAACACTTTGACAGTCGTTGGGAATATCGACAAAAGCGACTTCAGTAGCTGAGTTGCTGGATTGGCGATTAATATATTTTATTTTTCTGCAGGCAAATTTGTTCATCTGATACCGCTCTTATTCTCAATTGGTTCTGAATTCGAAAGGTACGTGTAGAACTGTCTTTGTTATTTCGACTCTCGATTAGTTCTTAAGAATGATCAAAAGTCATTGCTTTTATGGGTTTAATTGGTATTTTTGTATGGGAAATTACTGTCAGGAAACCATTTTCAAGCAGCTGCCTTTCTCGACATTGGAAAATAAATTAAAATTGTTGTAATGTATTTGGGGGCGCATGAGCCCATAGGGTTTTAATCGTGCTCTCGATACGTTGTAACCATGTAACTTTCAGTTATGGCGTTGATTTAGCTTAACATCAAGCAACCCACTTTTCTTAATGAGATTCAATTATTTTGAGGAAAGAAAAAATGCAGTCTTTGTGCAGATTCTTCTTTATAAGCTTATGAAAACCGACAGTTTAATGTTAAATTTTCTTGCACATCTAAACTTTTAATGGTAATTTTGTTGTGTCCTCTCATGTTGCAGAATTTGGCTATGGGTTTTCAAAGACTCACAGGTCCCAATGGAGGGGATAGTGAAACAAGTCCTCACCTTTATGTGGCTAACTGTGGGCCCACTGTCGGCCTTTCGTACGATGCTATTGCCTCTGTATTTGCAGCATACGGAGAAGTCAAAGGAGTCTGTGCTGCTGATGGAAGTGGGACCCGCGTGATTGTCTCGTACCACAACACGAGTAGTTCGCGAGCTGCCATGAAAGCACTCAACGGACGTTCGTGCTCTGCTCTTGGGGGACGTTCTTTACACATTCAGTATTCTATGCAGTCATTTGGTAAGGTACTCGTTTTTTTCATTACCTATAAATTTTTATTATTTGTCGAATGGCTTTTTCTTGTGATTTTAAATGTGAAATCATTTGGGTAATTTAGCATCAATAGAGTGCTTCTATTGTTTCATAGTGATTGTTAGCAGAAGAATTTTAGTGCTGTTTATCGAGTGCTTTGCTTAGTTATATTATTGTAATTTCTCGTTCCCTGATGAAATATGTTCATCCTGTTATCGTGAATAAATTAGTTCAATAATCAAATCTTAACCCTAAAGGGTTTCTGTTTTGTTTATGTTTTTTTTTTTTTCAATTATGAGTAAATATTGGTGATGAAAACTAAATAAATTATTTGGGATTTACTGTCTATAATGAATTTGGTCCTTCCTTGTTGTACAAAGATTCATCTGTTCTGCATTATGATTACGTCGTGCTAAATTTCTTTCATATCTTTATTGGTCGACAAGGTCAACAAAATTGAGTCAGTTTCAGTATCAACATCAGCTTCAGACGTGGACATCCCTGGACTTCACTTGGTTCATGACTTTGTCACTGATAAGGAAGAGCAAGTTAAGGATCATATTTTAAAGTTTACACATTGGCCCAAACAAATTTCCATTTTAAGATAAATTTTGCGAGTCTGCATGCATCATCAACCTCTTTTTCCCCCTAGGAATTGCTTGCTGCCGTGGATGGTAGGCCGTGGCAACACCTTGCCAAAAGAAGAGTTCAACATTACGGATATGCATTTTGCTATGATGTGAGTTCAAAGAAGCAATGAAAGAGGAAACAGACCTTGCTCATAAAACTTCCTATTATGATTTATTTATAATATTTTTGTTCTCTGTATATTAGTTGTTGATCTTATCAGTCTTTATTTTTTTTTTAATAATTTTTGCCACTGGGGTTCTAACATTTTATGTCCGTATTAGAATTAACCTTCATCTCTCTCTCTCTCTCTCTCTCTCTCTATTGCAGATAAGGAATGTTGACACGAACCAATATCTGGGTGAGCTTCCATCGTTCTTGTCTCCCGTGCTCCAAAGGATCAAATCATTTCAACCACTTGATCATGCTGGAGACATATCTTTGGATCAACTTACGGCAAGTATTTATATTCTAAATACTTCAAAACATAACTAACTGCGTTCTACTTATCCTGATTTCTGAGTCTCTTTATAATTTTCTTCTTTCCTTTTTTTCCCAAAAAAAAAATAAAAATATGTATTCTAATAGAATTCGCTTCATTTTCAGTTATTTAAAACAAGCCTCTCTCTCTCTCTCTGCCTTTATCTAATGACAGGTTAATGAGTATGCACCTGGCGTAGGTCTGTCCCCCCACATAGATACCCACTCAGCATTCGAAGGATTAATTTTCAGTCTCTCACTAGCGGGCCCTTGCATCATGGAGTTCAGAAAGTATACAACCGCAGCTTGGCATGAAAAGCCCGTTTCTACTCCTGATGCAGAGAAAAACATGTCCGAAAAGAATTCAGATTTCATTAGGAAAGCTATTTATCTCCCCCCTCGATCGATGTTGTTGCTATCTGGCGAGGCCCGATACTCTTGGCATCACTATATTCCACACCACAAGGTACAAAATTTTCCACTCTTATGTATTTGGTGCTCTCTTTATTTTTTTTTTCAGGAGGTATTGTTGTAGATGCTAGAGGAGGTTTAACGTTTTTTTCTTTTGGAATTCAATTTTTGGTGATTTTTAGTGAGAAATGTATGTGATGCAGGTGGATAAAGTGGAGGACACTTTGATACGCAGGGGGTCAAGAAGGGTATCCTTCACATTACGCAAGGTACAAGCCTTCAAAAATCGAGTTTACTTGACTTATCATGTCAAATTCAGATTTTAGCACACTTGAGTATCACGATATAGCTTTGCTACCATTTCCCATATATTATCTGCAGGCATTATAGTGCCAGGGATGATTTCTTTTCTTATTGAGTTTAAGTATACATATTTTGTGAGAGGAAGATGTTTTGTTCATTTTGTTTTGCTTGTGCATTTTTACTTTCTTTTTGTTATTTTGTGATGTAGGTGCTGAAAGGCCCTTGCCAGTGTGAATTCCCTCAATACTGTGATTCTCGAAGATAGATAAGTTTAATCGTGATTGCTATCTGCAATAACAATTTGGTTGGAGTTGTGTGCCTCAGCACATTGTTAAGGTCATGATCCAAGTGTAATGAGTTATGGTAGTGACTTTAGATTCATCAAAGGCCAAAATCCTTTTTCATTTACTGAAAAAAATAGAGAATGTAGTTGAAATGAAATAATCACATTCCATTTGTTGTGCTCTTTGCAGTATCATAACGAATGCTATTATGAAGTAGTATGTGTAGCCGAAATTATCCATTATTTATTTGAAAGGGGATAATTTGTGTTAGGACTCTCCTTACTTATCAGTTAGTGAGGCCAACTCATGACATGATTGATTCATGGGTGATAAAAAGGTCCTATCACCCTTAACAAATGGGACAGAAAAGTTCAACAATATGAAGGAACTAAGGTTGAATATGACTGACATGAAAGTGATGGATTTGAAATTTGAAATTCATCATCACGACTTAAAATGGGAATTAGGATTTTTATTACTACTCACAAGAGTTCAATGGATATAACTTCCGTGGGCTTCAAAAATTAGACGAGTATTTGTTAATCTAATACAGCGTGTGATGGGCGTTAACACAACTCACGCTTTTGCCATAATTTTGAAACCTGAATTGAAATGCCTTGGAGATGGTAAAATTATGAATCTCATCTATTGCACAACTCACGCTTTACCATAATACCATAATTTAATAGAGATAATAGAATCTTCTGTAAATTGAATCTTTCCTGTTTCATTTCATTTTCATGCCAATACTCTCCATTCAGAGGAATCGCATGTCAATTTCTTTGCAGAAAGAAAAATGGTACATTATAAAATCCGGACCTGATCAGTCAACGTCATCTCCTGCATTTAATGGAGATAACCGGAAAAAGAAAAGAATAAATTATCAGACTAAAAATATACAAGAGGCCCACCAAAATTGTCAATTCAGGTCATCAAAGAAAGCTTACCGTGCATGCTTTTGATGAAGTAATCAATTTCCGAGAAGCAAATAGATCTCTGGACCAGAGGCAAAGGCTGTTGAAACACAAAGAAGGAGAAGTGTCGGCAATCGGGATGATTTCTCGGTCTTGCAGTCTTGACTAGCCTCATAAACCCTTCTTTCTCATAACAAGCTTGTGCATTCTGACCAGCCACACTCAGCCCCTTTTCCCAAGCTGAGTTAATAACCTGCACATTTTTATTGCTATTTTCAAAAACAATTATTGGGGCACACTTAGTTTTTTTTCCTTTTTCCTTCTCTTTATCTAATTAATATAAGCTTTTGAAAGTAAATAAAGATAACCGGTAAAATTAAGGGAAAAAAAAAATGCTACCTGCCAACTCAGGCCTTGAGGGTCTGATAGTGGGTCGTCCATTGGCTCATATGAAGGTTTCAATTCTGGGATATCGAATTTCATAGTCACATCATGTTTTCTAAGCACTTCAAACAAGTGAGAATAACCGTCCCGATTAGAGGGGTTGTAATAGCCAGCTGTGAGTTCTGCTGCATGGCTTCTTGTCTTGTACCACCAGTAAATTGTTGGAATCTATATACATCATTATTTTTCGTTAAACTGTTAGAAAAAAACGGGAACTCATAACAAAGATTGATTAATTACAAGAAGCCCCCAATGAGTTCCGGATTTTCTTTTTCTTTTTCTTTTCTTTTTTTTTTTTTTTTGGTGAGGTTGGTGGTTCTCGGGTGGGGGTGGCTGGGTGTTATAATTACATAAACTCCAACGGATATGTGACGGAATCATAAAAATCATCTAATATATTGCAATGGCATCACCTGCATTTCTATATATTGCAAATAGCACCAACTCTTTTGTAAGGTTTGCAAAATCGGGGTAGTGATCGTAAATTATAACAGAAGATGGGGGATAAATAATTGCAACCTTCAGAGAAATCGAGTGATGTAAATGTAAGGCATTTGATGATATAAGCAAATTCCCAAATCATTCTTTGAGAAATTGTAAGATGAGATAAAACTCTGATGGGTTTTCTGTAAATTTAAATCTTGTCCGCTCCTTATTCATGATTACCACAAAACATCAATCCTTTCTTTTCTTTCATTCCTCTTGGTTCGGGTACTTTTTCTTTCCAATGGCATCAATAAACTTCTTTTTCCCCTCTAACCCACTAACTAAACAGACTTGGATCTCCGTATTGACTCTTTTTTCACCCCTTCAACATTATTTATCCCAAGACAAAGAAAGAACAGATGGGAATTCTGAGGGATAGTACCTTCACAACTATCTGCATTTCCTCAAATGCAAGGCTTGCAAGAGAGAGGACATTATCAGCATGATCTATCAGGACACTTGAATACCACTGCAAGAAAAAGCGCCCATAGTAGCTATCATAATCGCCTCTTTCACAGAAGAATCCTGTTTCATGCGGCTTAGAATTATAATAACCAGCATTGTCGGGGGCCCGGGCCCAGAAGGAGTGTCCCCGCAGTTTTGCAGCTTTTTTGAGATTTTGCAACAAATATTTATCATAACACTGGAGAGTTGAGACCACATGAAATTGGATGAAACCATTAGATATAGAGTGGTTTTAATATATAAAATAAAGAAATACATGAACTATGGAAGAAAAAGAACTGCAGAAAAATCCACAAATTTTCTGACTGACCGACAACAGTCAAATCCAACTCGGGGTAATGAAATTATAGAACCACCCGAGAAAAAACTCATGAACATCACATCAAGATTTAGAAGTTTTTTACTATTTTTATTCCAAATTCCAACATTACCCTCCTAATGATAATAGAACAAAAATTATTCACTAAATACCTGAAACTCACCAATACCCGGATATCTCCATCCCATCCTTTCTGAAAAAGAAGGGTACTTAAGCTCTCCAGAAGCTCCCAGTCCAATTTCAATGGCAGAAATGAGGCCTTCGGTAAATAAGTCGTCGAATTCAATCCGGAAGCTTCTCATGAAATCAAAATAGACCTGATATTATACAAAATTTGTATGCATCACCACACCAAGCAACATTAACCACTGTCCAAAAAGAAACACAGACATTGGTCATGCCAAAATCACACGTTAACTGCTCATTCAGATATAAAGAGTCGAGACAATATCCAAACTAACAAAAAAAAAAAAAAGGGTGAGAAGAGTCGCAAGTCAAAGAAAGCCTTCTCCAGAAATTCTTGAAAGAGAAACATCATAATTATTGTTTGATAACGATATTTCGTAAGTGGAGAGGACGGGCCATTTGATCTCAAGTCTCTAACAACAAAGAAATAACTGATTACTTCTATGGCAGTCCTTCCTCTGAGTACACGTTCTTGGTCGATGCCCCATGAAAGGCACTCGGTATTTCTTCTTCTTTCACGATCTGTGAAGAAAATATCCTGATTGCTTTTCCCAATCTCCAGAACCCATTGGGGTAGAGATATAAATATGCCACCAGAATCTTGTCCACCGTATTCGTGAAACGCCATCACCACCTAAGGACAAGAAAGAAACTTCAAACCTCTTAGTCAAAACAGACATTGGAAATAAAATACAGTTTCTACTGTTTTAAAGAAATCCCCTAAACAATCTTTTTCCCAAAAAAACGTAAAGGGCACTGTAAAATAAACATGGTTTAAGCATTCATGATGCGAGAAAAGAATTTGAAATTCATATTACCTGCAATTTCATCCCAAATTCCTGGATAATGTTAAACATTTCCCTGTATCCAGACCACTCGTACTTCTTTGGTGTCCAAGCCTCAACAACTCCCCACCAACAGTCCACAATAATGCCATCAACACACAGCGACTTCAGATTATGTAGTTCTTCTTTAATTCCTTCCGGGTTCATCAACTGACAGAAATTGTTGATCAAGCCAGTCTGCCAGAATTTAATGCACGGGAAAACAGAAATTTATTTTGTACACCAAGGATAAACATACAGAAATGAAATAATTTGGAAGATTATCTATCACTCACAGTAAGCCTCGCGTAAACAGGGATATAGGGTGTTGAAGGACCAGTTCCATGCTCCCTACAGCCAACATCTTGCATAAGCTGCAAAATCAAATTATTTATGTGTACATTAGCAAAGCATGCTTCCAACAAGTTATCAGGACATAGAGAGAGAGAGAGAGAGAGAGAGAGAGAGAGAGAGAATAAAATAAAAAATAAAAAAGAAGTTAATTTTACCTGTCCGGTTTCCAGACACTCAATGGAGTTGATGGCACTGGGACTTGAATACTTATCGAGTTTTGCATTCCTTTCCACAACAATCGAATCAAGAGATGTGGGAGATAGATCCTCGTCGATTCTGAGAGATGACGGCTGGCACTCGAGTGATGATCTTGTGGAACAATTTTTTAAAGAGCTCGTATACAGAGGGCTTTCTACTGGCTGAACTGGATGTGGACCCTGCTCAAATAACAAGTTATAGGGATAAGCGGTGGAATGTTGCCACGGGGACATAGTCCTATAACTATGACAATCTAAGAGCTAAAAACTACTTTTTCACCACAATTATTCAGAATCACATGATCATTGACAAATAATTCCTCAACAACCAAATAACACCCCAAGATGATATTATCCAATAGGAAATATATTCGTTTTATCATCTCATCAACAACGAGATGGACATAATTTTTCAATATATGTAAATTATTTAAAAGCCCTTAAAAAGTCCCGTTCAAGCATCTTTCAGTAAGACCACAAGAAGAAGATTAAATTGTTTGTAATGGTAATGAGGAACTTTTGCAAAACAAAGGTTTCCAATGTAACACAAGACTACAATTACTCAATATGGACATTAGAACTATATCTTTTGTTACAAGGAAATTTAGTGATAAGCACCTGGAGAAAATAGATGTATATTGATAGTGTAAACAGCACTGGTGAAGACATACTGAATGGTAGACGTTGATATATAAAACATTGACAATTGGGAAGTAGAGAGGCAATGTTCTGTGACCGTCATAATCAACTCCCGATCTTATAATTTCCAACATCCATAGCAATAAAGAAAAATGTCACTAAAAATCATCTATCCAAGCCATAGGCCCCAATATGCTTTCTAACCAGCAGCTAGTGTTGATCATAATATTTGTAAGAATGCACATTATGGAGAGGTTTTCAAGCTAAAAAACACAAGCCTCAAAACCACTCAAGCAAGATGCAAGAAAAAAGTAAATCCAAGTAAGGCCATAGCAAACACCATCCAAAAATCCAAATTCAAGCAACCTAGTACATTCTACCATTAAAAAGATCATACTGGTCCTCATATTAAAATAAAAGAGGAAAAACGTATCACAAACACCACCGAAAAAATAAGGAACGAACGACAACGAAAGAAAGAAAACCCAACAAAATTCCACCTTGGACTCAATCCACAGAATCACTTACCACATTAGAAACGTCAATAATGTTATTTTTCTGGAAAGAATTGAAATGAGCGATAGGAGGCTGCTGCAGCTGCGGCTGGGGCTGGGGCGGAGCAGGCGAGGAGTGCCTGTATGTGGTCCCGTCGGCATCCACCGTCCAGCCTGCCTCCCGAGCCAGTGCGGCGATGACGTCATTCATGTCGGCGCGCGAGGGGAGGGGGAAGTTGCCGTACTGCCGGAGACCGGCGAGCATCCGGCTCGTGATGGCCCTCCGGTGCCGCTCCCGTAGCTTCGTCCGCTCCTTTTCCTTTTCCCTCTCTTTCCTGCTCTTGGTTTCAGTCGCACCGACGGCCATGGTGTTCGCGTTGGAGTTGGTGGCTGCAAAGCCTCGGAGGCGGCGTTGGGGCTGGGGTTGGGGTTGAGGGTGGTAGGGGTGGGCGGACGTGGATGTTGGAGGCGGCTGCTGTGATTGATGTGGATCGAGGTCCTGTGCCGCGGTGGAGAAGCGGTGGTTCATGGTGTTATTGCCAGCGGTGTTCATTTTTTGCTGCAACTCACACTCCACTCCAGCTCTGCTCAGCGTCTCACTCCTACCAGAGTCAAAGCATTTTTGACAAGCAATTTGCAATTTACAGTTTACACCCTGGAAAGAGTCCTATTTAGTATAATGGACCCTTTCTCGGTCATGAGTCACGACACTCTTTACCCTTTGCATCTTCATCTTTTCGAAAGCACCCAACCTTATGTACATCTGTTACAACTTTTACTGCCCAATAACCGTTGAAGTTCATAGGAGACCAGATCTAGACTGAGAATTGCCTCCTCACCAGATCTGTCTAGACGGTTCAAGTGTCCGCAATTTTTGGCTTTGGGATTTGGATTTGCCGCTCTCTTGAAATTTTGTGCTGAAAGGTGTGGCTCGTTTGCCGGTTCAAGCATCGGTGTGGTATGCTAGCATGGTGTAGGAGAGATTTTATTCTAATTGTTTATTAAATATGTTGTTTTATTTGTATTTTCTTGTTGTGTGTAGTTTCAGTCCAACTTCGTCCTATTCATAGTCTCCTTTCTGGAGTTATTTTGTCTCTTTTATAGAGTTTTTGCTATGCGGGTGTAACCCACATGGTTGTCTGTATAATTCTAATGGGTGTCATTTGATACATCGAGTGTACTCCTTTTGAGTTTTCAATTATTAACATATGTTCAACATTATGTAAAGGTTTATTTGGTTATCAAAAAACTCAATTCACACTCAATTCATACTCAAAATCTAAGTCAACTTTAATTCAACTTCATTGTCCTTATATTATCAATATAATTAAATAATACTAAACAATTATTCTTAGACATCACATATATTTTTATTCACTATTCATTAGTTCATATAATTTTAACAAACAATTACTTCACATCATCTCTCATACTTTTACATCATATCAACTTTAATTATTTCACTTAAAATAATATTTTAATATAAACTCAAAATTTCAATAACCACTGACCATCCCACCTTTTTCTAAACTAACTCTAGTTAACAAAAAATTCATTTTGAGCGGATATATTTGTACTCAAACACGCCCTAAAACGTTTTAAATTTGCGTCGCCCAGCTTGGCCTTCCTATACTTTAAGTCTCTTTATCTCACTTTTATTGTAACAGCCTCTATTTTTACTAGTTCATAACTCGTGCGGTGCACGGGCCATATTAATTCATGGAGTTACATAAATTGAGCGTTATTAAACAATAAAATAATTATCATTCATAAAGAAGTTGTTAGATTATAAAATACTTGGCATTAAAAATTCTTTACCCTCTTCAAAGTAATGTATGAATATTTATAGCCCACATCAAACCAATAACTCAACTACCCTAAATTGTAGAAAAATAATTAATAATTTGAAAGTATGTATCCATTATGTATTAATGGTGTAAGAATTGAAGACTATATACTTCGGCGTCGTGAAATATTATTTCTAACATATTTTTGTAGGATATCTCGAATATACTTCAAAATATTCTATTTCCAACATGTGTTTTTGTAGGGTGACTCAAATGTTTTTCTTTGAAACATTCATAAGACTCGTAGCTTCATCATTCGTCTCTTAGATCTAGTAACTTGTTTTGTTAGGCCTTATGGTTGATCCATATTGCAATGCAAACTTTCGTGTCACTGTTTGACTGTGGATTATGAAAGCATGCACCTGGGCATTTATAAGAGCAATATCATAGTTAAAATATATTTTAATTGTTTTATTCCACGGATTAAGGATTTATATTTAATATAAATAATATGTTGCACGATGTGGAATATATTTTTTTATTAATGGATTACGCAATTAAGACTTACAATTGTTTCATAGAATAATGATTTAGTTGCATTATTTATTTTTTTAATTAAAAAGCGAGGATTTTGTTGGCATAAAAAAGTGTTATTTTTTAGGCAGTCAATTCACTGCAACATTTTATATTGAAAAATAAAAATTAAGAAAAAAATATTTATTTAATTAAATTGTATCACATTTTATCTATTGCACCGGGGTATAAAACATGACATGCGTTATTCTTTTAGTTCAACTTTGTGTATAGTCTTTACTAACTGATTTCGATTTACATTCATTTTATAAAATAACAAGATAGTTTTTATGGGGAAAAGAAATAATACTTTTTTTAAAGTCACACCTTTGTATAGATTGATTCAATTCATTATAATATTTTATTATTAAAAAATAAATATTAGTAAAAGGTTAATTATTTAATTTAAAATCTATTGAGTAACATTATAATGCTCTTCAATATCATTTTAAAAAACTAAAAATACTATTTTTTATGCTTCGACGAATTTTTTTATCCTCGACGGATAACATTACGGGATTCTCACAAATCGAAATTTAGAATTACCAACGAAATTGAAAATTAAAAATAATAAAAAATATATGTGATGTTATTTTGTAAAGAAAATATTTTGACAAATATATTTTCTAAAAATACTTAATTATTTTCGTGAAAATATATGTGATGTTATTTTGTAGAAAAAATATTTTGACAAATATACTTTTTAAAGAAATACTTAAATATTTTCGTGAACCCATATAATGCATGGGTCTCATTTTAAATAAAAATAATAGTATAATATAAAGAAATATTTTAAAATATTGATAAAAGCTTCTATTTAAATTTGTTTAAAACTTTTAAAACTATAACGAACAGTAAAAAAATTATCTATTAATCAACAGATAATACTAATATCTTATTATATAATGTGTCAGAAAATTATTATTAATAAACTACTCACACAACATTGTATATCTAATTTTATTCAAAAATATTTTAATCCAGTGTAAATTATTTTATGTAGAATTAATATTCCATTTTGCAGAGAAATTATTAAAATTTGAAATAATATTTCTATATTTATTTATTTTTTAATTTTTTTTATACATATATTCCTTATTTCGTACACGTGTAATACACATATATTATACTAAAAGTACAACACCCATGTATTACACGGGTGTTTGCTAAAAATTTATTCTTAAATTTTAAAATTGAAAAAAATTATTTTAAATTTTATTTACTTTTGACAAAAAATATATATTATTATATATTTTAGAATGACACTTGTTACTTGTGCAAGTTACATGTGTTATATCATAGTAACTTTTATAACTTATATCATATAACTATTTGAAATATAAATATATTAAAAAGGAGGAGCCGGTGGTTGAGGCCTCCGATCCTGATAAATAATTTTATTTTTTAATTAATATTAGAAAATAATTTATTATTGTTATAAAGATAAATATAATTTATTTTTTTTATACATACAATAAGGATGTGAAATCGAAACTCATCAAAAGATGATTAATTTGATATATTATATATGTAAAAATGATAAAAAATACAAAAAATATTAACTTTTAAAATACATTTACAATTCAATAGTTATAATAAAAAATGATATTAAAATGCAATTAATACATGTAACATGACCATAAATAATCAACATATTTATGGATAATCCTCTAATTAGCTCTGAATTGGAAATAAATTAAAATCTACCCAAACCTAATAACAAAGCATGTAATTTTGCCGCATAAGATCCCGAAGCATGCGAGCATACCAATTAGACTCAACACGTTCTGAATTAATATATTGGGGGATGTGATTTTTCTACTCAAAGTGTTGTACATGACTTGGACAATATTTTTTTCCACATATCCTTCGACAGTTCACAATCAAATCGAAGGAAATTTATATATTGTGTAATAAAGAATAAAGCACTTTGAAGTTGTCATCCCCAAATGAGATGAGCCTGAAACATTGATTATAAAAGCTCACACATAAGATACACATTTTACAACAATATTCATCTTCAAACCAACCAAGCAGCAAAAGGAGCATTTAAATGTCGAGAAAAAGTTGAAAAATCCATGCTTTCCCTGCTTTCACACCAAAACTTCAAGCCGGGAGAAATATATCGCCTTTGTGAAGCCCAATTTAACAAAATACAGAGACAATGAAAATAAGGAAACGCCATCAGTAAAAACGAGCTAGTAAGCCATTGTGTCATCATGGGCTATACGATATTTAAGAGAACCAATAATAAATAAACCGGCCATCATCAGCTTGCCGCAGTTAATAAGTCAGGTCGACAAATGTCACCTCTGCAAAGGGGACATACCCTGGAATATGAGAATAATTAGTATACACTGTCCAGTTGCACACTTACCGAAAAAAAAAGAAAAAAATCTCAATTCAGACAACTTTATAGTTTATAATGTGGGGAGAGGGTTGAGAAAAATCAAATGGCAGCATGAAGCTTAGCAAAAGCACCTGTGAATTTCTTTGAGCCATTTGTCAACACATGCTCTGTGGAATTCATGTTGGCAAGGAAGTACTCTCACACTATCTCCATCTTCATACTCAACAAGGCATATGTAGCATCTGTTAAGAAAGGGGGTAAATATACAAGAGATAGCATAATACACATTTGCTTGTTTACTATCAACAAATCAAGAAGAGAAATAGCATAATACACATTTCCTTACAACAACAACAACATACCTAGTATATTCCCAACAGGTTGGGGTCTGGGGGGTCAGTTGTACGCAGACCTTACCCTTGTAATTATACACATTTCCTTGTTTAATATTAATACTCCATTCATCCCACAAAGGCAGGCATTGTTTACTTTTCACACAATTTAATAAGACGTCAACACTGTTGTCAAGAAAGTAAGATATCGGAGTATTTCCCAATATACCATTTTTTAGTTTTCATAATTATTGTTTATGATTCATATTTTCTTGATAACCATGCAAATTAAATAAGGATAAAAAGAAAAACATAATAATTAAACTATAGTTATCACAAGCATAAATTGTAACCAAACCTTTTTTTATGGGCCCTAGGGATATTATTAAAAAAATTACACCATTTTCCTTTAAATCTCATTTTATTTTTACATCTACGAAGTTTTTTATTTTAGTTGCAAATATTCTAATTTCACGGTTCATGAACGCTTGATTTCTGGTTTCTTTTTCTCATTGATTTCTAAATTGTATTATTTATTGATATGTGATCAGTTTATGAATGGCTTATATATGGTTTTATTTCTAAAGCAAAGTGGATTCACTTTATAGCAGAAGCAATAAGTTTGAAAAATTTTACTCACTGATCAGTTTCGTCACATGGCTTCCTCTTCAATTTGCTAAATATCTTCAATGGCAAGGAATCCACCACCTCATTAGGTGCCGGAACAGATCCAATGCAAGAAACAGATGGCCGAGAGGATATAACGACAGATTGCTGGTGAATTTCATCCAGGACCTGATTAAATTAAGAGCAAATGGTTTCATCCCAAGATCAGAAGACAAATAATACAAAGGAAGTGACATTACCTCAAATAAAGCCTCAGCTAACATGACGATTCTCGATATGCTAGCCCTAGCATTAGCATCGTCATTCGAACTACCATCCCGAGTGGCCATTCGGCAAGTGCAATGACCTCCACGGTACTGACCAGATAAGATGCAAGACCTCTCATGACTAGACAGATTCTCGAAACGGCTTCCTAGTCTCTGAAGTGCACGCACCTAGCACATTATTAGTAGATTGTTATACAAAAATGCCAAAGATGGTTCTTTCTAAATTGCTTGTAACTATGTTTACGAGAAAATTGGAAGGAGGTCGACATATCTGAGAACTGAAAGAGTTGAATTACTTATGCACAAGATAATGAGTATGGCACTCTGCAGGCTTTGATCAGCATAATCATTGTTGACTTACTAAAACAAAGGATAAAGAAAAGAAAAAAGACGAAGCCGTTATCTAATTTCATGGGTACCAACGGTGTTCTAAGGGTTAAAAAGAAGACATCATTTACATCCCACAAATTTTAACATACATCACTACACACGATAGTAGAGTGTCTGGATGATTGACAAAATGTTGCACAACTGAAACAAAGAATTCAATATTCAGGTGAAACTCTGCGGCTGAAGGCTCCAAACCACTTGCCAGTCTAATGCGGTCATTCAGCAAGGAGTTCGAAGTCGGATCCATTTTTAAAAGGACTTTTACTATCCAGGCCAGGGAACTTTTTCTTGACACAGTTAGATTGTCGATTACTAGTCTGAGTTAAAAATAGGATAGGACAGGACAAAAGAAGGAAGAAAATTCAGGAACTGATATTAATTATATAATGATCATTTTTTTTTTTCAAAAGAAGTTAATTAGCATAACAGGTTACTCGCCCAAGTTTAACACAGCTCTGCATTAACTAACAAAACTAAACATAAACTCATATCACATTCATTTGAATATCAGAGTTGTTTAGAAGACAAATCCAGCCCCAAACATACACAATATTAATCTGGAAGGAATGAATGTACCTGTGATCTTATTCTTCTCCTGCGCTCAAGAAAATTTGACCTGTGCTCAAGTAGATCACGGTACCTGGTCTCTCTAGTTCGTGGAGTTCCGTAGACGTTATTTTGACCATCATAAAAAGGGTTAGAAAAACTAGACGAGACATTATCCGACAAAGCTTGCTGACCGACATTGTTATTTCCATCAGATGTTGATTCAACTTCCACGTGGTCTAGACTCTCTCTTTCTGTAGGTCGACGAGTTAGTATAACTTCCCTATCTTGCTGAAATTCATACAAATCAACATCGACCGTTGGATTTCTTCGTAGGACTCTGTCACGAAGCCTACCCACACTTAAAGTTCTACTAAACCGTACATTTCGGTCTACAGGTTCCCGGACGGAAATCCTTCTTTCAGCATGTCTTGTTCCACTACCATCCGAGTTAATATGATTTATAGGAGAAAATATCAAATCACAATTTTCTCTCATATCATTTCCACTCCTATATACATCACCACCAGAATTTAACTGTCTGTTATTAAAATTATCGTGGAAACTCTCTGTTAAAACAGGACTCGAGTTAGACACACAGTTCTCATCTGGTGTTCCAGGATATCTATTGGCAAAGCAAGCAGGAATAAATTCACAACCCCGTGACCTGTTGCTCCTATCTGCCATACTACACGAAGGCCCCGCCAAATCTTCTTCTTGTTCATTTGAAATTGTGAAACCCGCAGAGGATGTGGGATATGACCTGGCCGAGTTTATGCTGTTGGCTCTCGAGAGACGGAAGCTTATGTTCCCAGGATGGAAACTGAAGCGGGAGAGGAATCGGCTGGGAGGGTTCAATGAGCCAGACGAGAAATCAGTAGAAGTATTGCCTTCTTCAGACACGCTATTGGTGAAGCTTGATTCGCCCCACTCATTGAGGCTGATGCCAGAGTTCACACAGTTCATTTCATTATTCTCCTGAAATTTATCTGTCCTGTAACATTCAGTAGAAGCAGGACAAGGGCGTGGTTTATTTTCACGTGGACAAATGGAAGTCTTTCCGTAATCTTCACTTGCGGAATCCGAGACCTAGAGACGTCAAAACAGTGTTGCTTCAATTTCAAACAAATGGCTTTAGGAAACAAATCATTAACACATAACAGTGTGAGTCTGAACCGAAATCACAAGAATAGTGTCCCATCATATTATTCATATCAATGGTATAATAATTTTCTGGAAATCCTAGAAGTAGCAAACAATCTATATAAATTCAACTTATATATCAAACTCGATCAGACCAAGGCATAATGTTTTGCTGCACAGATGCAAAGCAATGTAACATCGAACTAACAATACAGAATTCACCATGCTGTACAAAGTCTTTTCTAGCAAAAATGAAAGCAATAAAACCACAATCCTTTTATTTTTCTTTTATTTTTTAATTTCTTTCTTCAGCTTCTTATATTAATCCAGGAATATAAATCTACATAGTGAAAAGCTGCATCACAGACAAGGCCCAACATACCTATGCAGTACCAAACAACCAATGTAGCAAATACACAATTTCAATCAAAATAAAAAGTCAGCGAGGAACCTAATAAAAAACACCTGCGGCTCATCATTATCGGAGCGGCGAGATCGGAGACAAGCCGACTTCAAAACTCGCCGCCGACTCGATCGGCTCCGCCGCACGGACGCTCCGGAGGACGATGCAGACGCCGACGTGGACGGCGCATTGTGCTTGCTACTGCTCAGTCCCATCCTCTTTGTACCTCAACCGCTCATCGTTCAAAAAATGAAGATCTGAAACTGTCGGCACTTTCGATATATATATTGCGGTGGCAACTTTCAGATCCAGATGCGGACGATAATAATGAACAACTCCATTTTGATGGGGAAGCTGAAACTGTATTGGCTGTCACCAGTAAATGATTGCGGGCATGGAGCAGTAAGGGGGTAGGGTGGGGATTCAAAATTGGGAACTGGTTCGAGACGCCATGTTTTGCTGAGGTTGGAGTTTTGGATAGTAGAACGGCCCAATAACAGTAGGCCCAATAACAAATGCCTACAGGCTCATGTTATCTGAGATAGTCAATTGGGCTTAAGAGAGCATAAACGAAGAAACTGGATTCGTCTATATTTTGATTATCCCACATCAATTTTGAAAAGAAAGCGTGAGTAATTTAAAACCAAGGTGAAAGGAAAAAGCAGACAACTCCAGAGGGTGTCGGGTTGGATTGCACGCGCTTGTGAGAACCCTAAACCTTCTCTGTTACCTCAGAGTATTATCCGATGGGGGGTCATTTTCTCCGGCGATTTGGGCCCCCCCGTTATTAACCGTCCATATAATCGCCGATGCCACGTGTGTGCAATTGACCAGAGTTAGATCCCCCTCGAGTGGTTTGAAGGTTGTGGCTGCCTCCCGTTGAGACACGTGGCTCGCGGTCCACACTTGTTGTCCTCGCCACTCGAAGGCACCCTCATTTTTTGCCAATCTTGTTTTTAATTTGAGCATAATTGTCTAAACTTTTACTCATCTATTGAAGCAACCTATTGTTTGGTTTTTCCTACATTTTGATAGTTAAAAATTATCATAGTATAAATACATAATATTTTATTTTTTAATATAAGCATTCATATATATAATATAAATAAAAGTATGATATTTTATATATATTATAAACAATTATATATGTATAACTGGTAGGCAACCTCATAACAAATTTTGTGTCGACTAATTGATTCTATCATTTATGATATTAATTTAATCATTTAAGAATTCAACCGTTGTTTTCTTTGCCGGGCATGAATTGCACATACTAAGCAGCTTAAGGACAATGCATAGCCACAAGGGAGCATAAATGGACAAATCGAAACAATGTTATTAACATTTTGTGTTTATTGACTAACTCCATACATTTTTTGCTAAACAAATATTCATCAACTGTACTTGCACAATTTCGCAGTGTCTATGAGTTGAAAAGGGCTTCTATCGAAGTACCAATCGCCAATAGCTAGCCTCTAATGTACATTAAGGCCTCATTTGTCAGATGTGATAGGATAAGATAATTTTCATCTTATCTAACAAGATTTGCTTGTAGAGATGGATTCACTTTTTTTGTTTGTTTTGTATGATTAACACAAGATAAGTTATTTTGGATTTAATGTATACTATGTTTTACCCTAGATACTTTTGAGGATAAATTGTGCTTTTACAAATATACCCTTCACCATCCTATCTAAAATTTCATGTTTCTTTTACACATCTTGACATTTTTCATTTAAATTTGTTCCTGAAAAATATTTTCCTTTTTGACGACCTGTGAATAAATTTTTTTCACTTTTTTTACAAATAATTTATTTTAATTTATTTTTTTTTCTTTGTGTGATGTTATGTTCCCTTGATTAAAGTTAATATTGTTATTTATTCTACAAATATTTCAGTTTTTTCCCATTTTTTTTTTGTTTAATTTATAATTGATGTCCTCTTGGCCATTATCAACAATTGCATTCTGTGCTGCGGACAATGAAAAATTCTTCAATCGCTTCTCCAGCTCAGCTTCCTCACTATACTGTGCAGGAATCCCTTTACTGTTGGACGCCATTTCAACACCCTCAAAACTCGACTCTCAACTCCATAGAGAAATGCATATTTCACTCTTGATGAAAGCCCCATTTATCTAGTTCATATGTAATGAATTATAGACAACTTCTTTAAATTAAATGTAATTTTTCAATTTTTAATTAGTATTAACAAATGATATACTTTTACAATAAATAAAACTTTTCATTCATTTTATATAGAAAATATAGATATCAAATCGAAAATAATAAAAAATGATTAATTTGATATATTTTATATATATATATGTAAAAGAATACAAAATACAAAAAATTATCAGTTGAAAAATATTTATATATTTAAGTTAGTTAAACATTTTAAAATTTTTGTGATAATTAATAAATTAAACAATAACACATAAGAGTGGTGCAATGAAATCTTATAAGATTTTCGGATGTGCCATGGGAAGTTAGCATTTTCTAGCATTGAATTAATTCTTTTGACTGGTCATCATAATCCGATAGCGTGTATGCAAATCAAATTATTTCGACTCGATACTCGAATACCTTTTTTTTCCCCCTAATTTCGAACAAGTCCCATATTTTCACGCCCAAGGACTAACCTGCTAAAATAAAAGATCACAAGAGCATCCAAAAAATATTCTATTATATACGCCGTAGAAAAACCCGCAAAGTTAATGGCTGATAACGTTTTAGCATAATAAAAAAGGGCACTATTTAAGCAAGAAAAATAATAAAATTTGAGCATCAAAAGGGAAAAAACCCCACCTTTTGAATAGTGATCATACGTGCTTCACAAGTTCAGAGGGTTCATCCCTTTGTTACTTTTCCTCAACCCCAAAAAATTATAAAGAAGATCAAATATCATACACGAATAAGGTAGCATTTTATTCCTTTACTTTTTAATTTTTGAAATACTGTTCAAATGATTCGATCGGGTTTAATATTTATCATGAAAATGAAGGTATATATATTAATTGAAAACCCCACCCAGTGAGTTTTCTTACATATATAAATTTCATAATCATCTAATGCGGTCAATCATTTTATGCATAGTCATTTTGATACTATTATTTATTTTTATCCTTAATTAACAATATTATTCTTGAGTTTAGCGTTTTGTCCGCAAGCACATTTCTCGACGTTGATTTAGAAAATGAGTTCATAAAGTATGGAATTCTCAAGGGGCCCATTTTCTTTATTCTTTCAAGTGATTTATTGAAAATTGTATCTAAATAAATCACGAGATATAAGTGGTGGTTTGAAAAAATATGCTAGATCACTATCATTAGTGCCTATTTGGGAAAAATGAATATATAATTTGGCTATTGAACCTTAAAAAGTTCGCTTTCACATAAATAGATGTTTATTGGAATATATATTAGTTTTCTATGATCTCTCATTTTTAATTTAAGGTTTTAATTGGACATATATACAATACTAAGGATTTTTTTATATTTGTTGTACAGCATGGGGAAAAGCAGTAAGACGACAGTTGACCACTTGGTAAAACTATTGATCACTTCACTTGTTGTGTTGAACGTTCAAGTTCACGGCGCTAACTTCGTTAAGCTCACTCATGTAGACAGCGGTGTAGCAAAAGGAGCAGGTACAATTAATTATCTCAAATTCATTAGCTATTAAAATAATTAAAATATATATATATTTTAATTAACTAAATAAACAATTAATTATAATCTCACACATGTAACATTTTTTTTTTTCACCATTTTGTTCTATAGTTTGTTTAAATGGCAGTCCTCCAGCTTTTGCCTTAGACCAGGGATTTGGATCTGGAGCTAATAATTGGGTGGTTTTCATTGAGGTCGTTTTTTAATTTGTTGTATATAATTTTGGAAAAATTGCGTTTTAATCGTATTAAATAAATCGAAATAATTTTGCACATATATAAAAAAAAAAAAGATCATATAATATGAATTGCAGGGAGGTGCATGGTGCAATTCCACATCTGATTGCGTAGAAAGAAGTAGGACCATATTTGGAGACAGTTATAACAGGAGTAGAATCTACTTTGAGGGCATACTTGATTCAAATCAAACATTTAATCCAGGTAAATTAATTTATTTGAATAATTACATACATGCACATAATATTTCTGCAATTTAGTAACCTCACAATCAGGCCATCTCAAAAAATTTAGAGGCCCTAGACAAGTTTTTCTTTTCGAATTTCTCAATTTGAACTTACGTGGTAATTAAATTAGGCTATTTGCAGATAGAATCATAGAAGAAAAAAACTTAATTAAAAAAGACTATTAACTAAATAAATAATTAAAAAAAAATCTTGTTTTTCTAGACTTTAGAATTGATAAATTACCTATGAGTTACAAAGATCTTTAATAATTTAGATTCAATCAGCCATTAGAACAACAAGGAGAAGGAAATAAAAATCATATCACTGCAAAGAATGTTTATTCTCACACAATTGTTTTAACCGAACATCATAAGAAAACAAATGAAATATAGGGCCTCAAATTTTCACACAAAATATACTATATTTTGTCATTAACTCATTTATTAATTAATCCCTTCGTTTATATAATGGGACAAACTCATCACAAATACATAGTATTGAAAAAAAAAATGGGGCCCAAATATAAGGGAATATAAGGGGAGGCCTTGGGCTGCCCTAGCCGGCCCTGCTCACAATTAATGTTACTTGTATATAGCTAATGCTATATTTATTATGGCTATACTTATTTTTTTTTTTGTATTTTTTTTTTTCTTTTTTTGTTTCCCCATATCAACTTAAGATTTCTACAACTGGAATAAAGTGTATGTGGTTTATTGCGATGGTGCGTCATTCATGGCAGATATCCCAGAAGTTGACCCGGTAAGTTAAAATTTTCAATAACGATTAATTATTTTCAATTCATAAATTCATTTCTATATGTAAACATAGAGTTTTTCAAACTTAAATGTCAATTCTAATGATACGTATGAGTCAATTTTAGTGTTTCGTAATCATAATTTGTGCGATTTTAGAGTTGGTCCATGTAAATATGAACTTTTATTCATTCCTTTTGGAACTTTAAAAATTATAGAACGTTTAACTAACTTAAACTGTAACATATTTAAAAGTTAATAATTTTTGTATATTTTATTAGTTTTTTTAAATAAATATGATACATTAAAATAATCATTTATTGTTACCAACTAGAAGTTTCTTCACTTTTTTCACTTTTTTTAGTTTTTATACATATTCGAGTACTTTTTTTTTAATCTTTTTTATGGGCCCATAACCACCTCTTATTTAGAGTATGAATCGTGTCAATCCTTATAGTCTTAAATTAATAATTTCATATCGTCCGAATCAATTTATTTTATCTTTCATCTTTGGAATTGATAGTTGATCAATTTTTTCGACTTCCAACTTATAGAGAAACCAGAATTCTAAGTTGATAATTTTATATATTTATGATTTTTAATCGATGGAAATATATTTCACGCCATAACTGAAAAATTAATAAAACTCCAAAGATATATCATATATGATGAACATTTTTTACTCACCTTCACTCTTCTTGATATCTGTTAGAGAGGTACAAAATTGTGAAAACACTATGATTTTCAGGCAAACAACCTGACATTTAGGGGAGGTAGGATTTTCGATGCGATTATGGATGAACTGCTGGCAAGAGGAATGAAGAATGCAGACAATGTACAATCTTCTTCATCTTAAATCTAGTTTATACTTTCTAAACACAAATTCTTCTAGACTACTACGTACGTACATACTTAATTTTAAGAAATACTTAAATCTTAATAATGCATAAATGCCTGAAGGCTATACTTAGCGGTGGCTCGGCTGGCGGATTAGCAACCATCTTACACTGCGACAAATTTCGTGCACTTTTACCGAATGCTACAAGAGTAAAATGCATCTCAGATTCGGGTTTCTTCATACACGGGTATGACTCATATATAAAACCCAATTGATTCAAATAATTAATAATTAAGTATTGACTAAATTTTGGCTAAATTTTTAGTTGAGATTTCTGAATATTGTATCTCTATTTTGAGAATGTACATGAAATTAATGCATTTAGGTCATGATTGAAATAGGAATATTTGAAGATAACTTTATGTTAATGTGTTTATATTTTACTACAGAAAAGATCTCCCTGGAGCCGAGACGATAAGAGTAAAACGCTTTGCAGATGTGATTCAAGTGCATGTATGGATTCTCCATATTCCATGTTCTTATCATTTTAAATATATATGATGTGATATTTATTTTATTTGATATATGTCATGCAGAAATTAGCTGAAAGATTGCCCAAGTCTTGCACATCGAAAATGAACCCAAATACTACATTTAAATAAATTAGTTTTGTAGAAACAAAAAGTAAATTGGGGGATATACAGTAACAATTGGTTGAATTACAGTGTCTATTCCCAGAAAATTTAATTGAAGATATAAAGACGCCAATCTTTATACTTGAATCGGCTTTTGATTTATTTCAGGTATGTCAAAATTGTTTCATGGTAACATAAACAAATTCAATGAACTATATGAGAAAAAAAAATCACCACATACGATTGATTTTGATGTATGCTAGGTTGAATTTGATTTGTTTCAGGTTGAACAGAATTACATAAATGCAATTGGTGCTCCCCCAAATTGGAGTAATTGTACTGCCAATGTGACACATTGTACATCTCATGAAATAAAGCTCATGCAAGGTGTAATTAATAGATATCAAAACTATCAGTTAAAAAATTAGTTTCTTCAGATTTGATAATATACTAAAATTCTTATTTTTGATTAAAAATTTGTCCAAAAAAAAATTAAAAAATTATCAGATTTTCGGAGTACCTTCATAACAACATTGCAAAATCTAAATACATGTCCAAGTAGAGGAATGTTCGTACACTCTTGCTATTTGCATGGCCACCTTATTTCGAAAGACCGTTGGGGATGTTCATCTGTTGTTGGAAACACTCTGGCTAACAAGGTAACGTTCATTTTTTTTTTTTTTTTTGTAATAAATTTAACGTAAGTGTGCTCATTTCAATCAGTACATTAATTTTTATTACAATTTAATTTAAGTTTTGGGAAAATTAATATATTAGAAACGGTTGTATTAATGAAAATCATCTAATTAATAGTGGGGATTTGCATTCTGCAGACAATAAGAGAGGCTATTAGCGATTGGTATTTCGACCGATCCTCTTTCCAAGTGATTGATACCAAAGACGATGTGCCACGGGACTGTAGCAGCACCCTCGAAACTAATGAATTCAACTTCAAGTGTGTTAAACCTCAGTATTAAATGGATGACTTGTGTTTCTATCTTTTGTATCAAATTATAATAAATGATTAAAATGTATAGCGTTATATCTTATGGTCATATTTTTTTAGCAAAGAGAGTTAATGAGTTATATTTAATGTTAAAATTATAGTAAATGATTACTTTGCAAACTATGAAATTAGACTGCAAAAGTAATTATAACTTTATATCTGCATGCAAGCATTCCCACATCTCTATTGATGACAAAATTTCATTATTAATTACATGCGGACAAATAATTCGCACCGACAATCACCATTGGATTGCCGCAATCAACTAAAGTCCAAGCTCAGTTTTCTCGAAAACCAAAAACCGAAAATAAAAAGATAGAGGAAAAAAGTCAAAAGGCATTGACTCTTGTGGCTCATGGAGTTTATTCAACATATGTGTATTTAATTATATTAAGTTAAATTTTCTATTTGGTTCAATAAATAATTAAAATTTCCAAATCCACATAAATCTTAACTGAGTTCAGTTTTTTTCTGTATCCATTTTCAAATTCTCATTACACTAATCTCTCTCTACTGAGAACATGGCTGGCCAATGGTTACAAATATTGTTCTTTGCACTTATAGTGATGAATAATAAAGTCAATGGGTATGGTGCAATGGTCCCACTTACAATTCTTGCAGATGCTGTGGCGAAAGGAGCAGGTAAAAATATCACTTCTTGTCTAGCATTAATTTTCAAATTTATAGTTTTCTTGTCATTAATATTTACAAGGGATATGAATAATTCCCATCTAATTATGTTCCAGAATTAAGACTAATTTTTTTTTTTAATTTTAACGAGTATAGAGTTGTTATTTTCCCTTAGATTTTAATTTTTCGAAAATTGCAAGCAGGGAAAGTATATTTCTAAAAGTATGGGTAAACTCACGAAAGTTTATTTATTTTCTTCCTTTTTCTTTTTGTTAAAGAAAGTTTATTTATTTTCAATGTTGTTTAAAATTCATTTAAATGATATTGTGACATAAATAGAGACCTCCTGGATAACGCCTCATCAATGTTCTAACTCCTAATTAACTATTCATATACAGGAGTATTTTTTTTTTTTTTTTCGTTTTTGGGAATTTAATCAAATGTCGGAGCAAATTAAATTACGTAAGGTTCATTGCAAATTAATTAATAAAACCCAATTTAATGCAGACACATAATATTTTTTGTTTTTCGGTGCAGTTTGCTTAGATGGCAGCCCAGCAGGTTACCATTTTTATGAGGGATTTGGACAGGGGACAAATAGTTGGCTCGTTTATCTTATCGTCGGTTTTTCAACTCAATCTATCAATACAAACTCATTTTATTACTAAACAAAAGTAACACTAGGATCATATATAATTGTACATGGTAGAGTTCTAACAAATAACTTTTGATTTGAAAATTGTACAAGTATTGTGTGTATATGCTAATTAAGACTTCACAAGTGAAACTAATACAAGATGCATGATTGTGAAAATAAAATAAGAAACAAATATATAAAATATAAAATATAAATTAATTGAAAGGTAAATGCAATGTAGGGAGGTGGTTGGTGTAGCACAACGGGTGATTGCCAGTTGAGAGTCCAAAATTCGCCAGATACTTCCTCAACTAATAACATCCAACCCGTCTATTTTGATGGGATACTCAGCCCCGATCAAACCACCAATCCTGGTACATTCATTTCAATTTCACTCACAATAATTACATAACATTAATTTATTTATTTTGCAATCTTAAATATTAATTTTTCTATTATAGATTTCTACAACTGGAATAAAGTTTACCTACGATACTGTGATGGGTCATCCTTTATGGGAGATGTTGAAGCTGTTGATCCGGTGAGTCTTAAAATAACTTGTCGTCCAATTTCTTATTTTAAAAATTAGTTACCTAAAGAATATGTATATAATATATGTTGATGCTAGACAGGTTAATTAAGTACCTACCATTCGACATATGTACACTATATAATACAATGTTTTATTGTAAAAAAAAGGATGTCATTAAGAAAAAAATGACTGAATAACTATTAAATTATATAGCAACACTGTTAATTTCCTTATAAACCACGCCTATTTTATTTTTGCCACATCATATCGATCCATATGACTAAATAAAAATTTATTTTTGTGGTGTCCCTCTTTATATATTTCCCAATTACTACTATATTCAGGTAACAAACCTCCATTATAGAGGCTCAAGGATCTTTAAAGCAATCGTTGAAGAACTACTAACAAAAGGACTGCAAAATGCCCAAAATGTACGTACGACCACTTTTCACTCGAGTTTTGTATTTTTATGAACAATGCATTTAAACCAAACATTATTCTTTATAATCAAATAATACAACACTTTTGATACAATTGAAATATATATATATATATGTATATATAAAAAAGGTTATCCTTGCTGGCAACTCGGCCGGAGGATTAGCAACTATTTTGAACTGTGACCGGTTTAGGGCAATGGTGCCGAAAAATGCCAGATTAAAATGCGTTTCAGATTCGGGTTTCTTCCTCAGAGCGTAAGAATCTTTATATTTTCTTTTTTAATTTAGCATATGAACTTTGATGCATTATTTATACGCTTAACTCGCACATTTATTAAAATTTTCATTTATTTATTGATTTTTTATTTTTCTACTTCAGGAAAGATCTCCCAAATGCATATCAAAGAGAAGTTTATTATTCCCAAGTGGTTCAACTTCATGTATTGCTCCGTGCCTTAGTTCTATAATGCAGCACTATAAACTAAGTCGGCACAAAAGACAAAAAAAATAAAAGAAAAATAATACAAAATTAGCTCTCAATTAGTAACTCATAATCCGTGCATACAAAAAAGAAAATAAAAATTGTAACCTAAAATCGACTTATAAGGGAAAGGAGATCCGAATGAAATTAAAATACTAGTAACATCAAATATATTAATTTTAGAGGGCTTTAATTTACATTTCCACAAAATTTATTAGGATAAACTTTTAACCTTTATCTTTGGTGTAGGGAATAGCAAACTTTCTGCCGAAATCATGCACGTCAAGAATGGATCCCGGTTTGGTGAGTTGACTTTGCTGTTTACTTTTCCAAATATATAAGTGTTTGGATATTGATTTAGGGTTGAACAAATTCAATTATATATGCAGTGTTTTTTCCCCGAAAATTTGATTGGAGATATTGAAACCCCACTCTTCCTGCTCAACTCTGCTTTTGATCAATATCAGGTAAGGCCATTTCTAAATTAACGCACAAAAAAAAAAATCTTAATCTTGTACCAATTTTACTTTATAAATCAAATAAACGTGTTATAATATATATTTATATATATTATTTTTCAGATCACCGTAAATTTGAAACCTAACCCCAACAACGAGCCTGGCTGGGGCAGTTGCATTTGGAATATATACACTTGCACACCTTCGCAATTACAACTTATAAAAGGTAGGAACTTTATTATTATTTTTTTCCTTTAATATTGATATAATATTGATCTTGAAATGTAGAAAATATGTGTTTATCTTAAGTTGTGTTAATTTAATTTCAGATTTTAGGAATACATTCATAGAGACAGTTAATAATAGTGGTGATTGTTCATCAAGAGGACTGTTTATCAATTCTTGCTACATCCATGATTACCTTTGGAGCGCTCAAAGATGGACTTCAGTGACATTGAAAAATAAGGTAATTTTTTCACCTTTATGGTTTTATTTATATATTTTTCCCTCATATAAATTAATTGTTTACATAAAAAATTGGTTATAGCACATATATATCTCATTTTTGTTTTCCTTATACCTTTAATATGTTGCTATGTCGAGTAACTATTGAAAATTCGTGTGTGTGTGTATTTATTTCTAAGATACGTAAGTGTAAAGTTTATCTCAATTTTATCAATGTTGACATAATAATACAATGATTCACGGGGTTATCTGTCTAGTACATACATTATAACATATAAAAATTATTTTTACGCAAAGGAATATTTACTTTGTTTAGGTTTATTCTTATAGTTTTTAGTCATTTTCGAATAAATTACAAATTTGTCCAAACATTTTAATGAACATGCTGCTACATTAATAGTGGTAGATAATCAATGATTTTGAATATTAATTGCAGAGCATTGCACAAGCTATTGGGGATTGGTACTTTGATCGAGCTACTGTGAAGTTGATCGACACTCACTCAGATCATCCAATAAACTGTAATTTATATTGAAGGGTGCAGTTACCGAAATCTATCAATACAAGAATCTCGTGCAATACACGAGCAAGAGATATTTATCAATATTTATAAAATAAAAATACTTATTAAATAATATTTATAAATTAAAAATATGGAATAAATATGTAATACAATTTATCTATATTAATTTATTGAAAGTATTGTATGAATTTAAATTGCGCAAAATTATTCAAAACATGTCTATTTAGAATTAATTAGTACACAACTCGTTCGATGGACTGATAATAACTTATATTATATATATTTCAAAATAGTGTCATTTTTAAATTTTTATTCATAAATTTCATTTGACTACAATGTGATTCAATAAAATAATTATTTTGATAAATTTTTTTATCATATATTTAAAAACCTATGTGAATAATAAGTAAATTTATAAAACTTAGATTGTTTCATTAATTAAGATGATTATTATTTTTTTATAAATTATTCAAATCAGAAAATTTAAGTAGTTGATTAATTTAATAAACTATAAATAATTGACTATTTCATTTATATCCAAGTTAATATTGACTTGTAAGTTATGAGTAATTACTTATTTGACTTTTAAATTTTTTAGAATTAAATTACAAATTTTAAATTTTATTAATCAATAACTTGTTCAAAGAGAATTATATTACCTTGATTTTTTAACAAAATCAACCTTAAATTCGACTTTCATACTCATACTAAATAAATATATACTACTTATTTTGTCTTCAAAATTCCTTTATATATAATTCTCGAATTTGCTGAGTTTAAGTGGCACACTCGCACGCTTCGGGATTCTATTTGACAGAGTTTAAAACTTTGGTGTTTGTCTTGGATGAATTTTAATTTATTTTTAATCCAAAATTAACTAGCCTTGGTATATTAATAAATATACTGAATATTTATGGTCATTTTTAAGAGCATTAATTATGTTTTAATATCTTTTCCTATTATAGACATGGTTTATATGGTATAATTTTTTCCGCCAATCTTTCTTCTAAAATTATAACAAACCCGTGCGATGCACGTGTGCGATGCACGGGCTAGTTTTATTAAGGTAAACATTTAGATTTGGATGATTGAATGATTGGAAGAACGTAATAAAACGCATGTATTGAAATAAAACAAAATGTAACTTATATATTATCAAAATCCTTGTACAAAACATTATTTGTTTGGTCTTTTGGTACATCGTCTATCACCGCAAATTGTATTAGGATTCTAAATGAGCTTAAATAAATCAATTAAATTATTTAGCAGGATATATATGATATGATTTATACTGGTTTTATGACAATTGCATAGCCAAATATAACGGAGATTGTAAAACGTCTTTCGTGTTAATTTATAGGCCTTATTATTTTAAAATTGTAAATTACATAATTTAAGAAAGGAAAAAATTGTGCAAGTGTATGCAATCAATTTTAAATTTGTATTCTAGAGGATTAAACAAAACCCAAATTTTTAGAATGTTCCAATACGATTTCATTTTGAAAATTTCAAATATATATTATCTGACTCTGTTTTATGTTTAGAAAAATCTTAAATAAAAAAAGTAGTAATCAAATGATAAGGAATTTTTAATTTTCAATTTGAAATTGGGTCCAATTTCTATGTAATTCGTGATCTGATGCAATTAGGTAAAGATACATGTTATAGTTTTGCCTAATTCGAAATTTTCGATTTTATGGTAAACAGATTTTTTTTAATAAAAAATGAGAGAATTTTGAACACAAAATTGTCATGCTGGATTTTACATAAACTAGTACGGTACCCGTGCGATGCACGGTAGCATTTATTACCTATTTATTTTTTAAAAGGTATTTTTGTATTTAAATTGTTTCATGCCATTAAAAATTTCATGAAAATGAAATTTATATGTTATTAAACACTTCTTTAAGTACAACATTATTGATTTGATTCTTTGGCGCGTAAAGTACTACACAGGTGTTCGAATTTATCCAAAATTGCATATTATTAGTTATTAGTTAACAAATTTTTTAAAAAAAATTAAAGGATCTTATTTATTAAACAAAATTAAAGTAAAAAAAAAAGTAAAATTTTTTAGGAATTTTCACCTATTATTTATTTTAAATCTAATTCTAAATTTCAATTAAAAAAATTTGAAAAGAACCATTAGTTACTCCTGGAAATGAAACCGATTTTCCTTCCAATAAATCGATTTTTTCATCAAACAAATTGATCCAATTTTTTTCTTTAAAACCAAATAAAAAATCATCAATTTTTCCTAAAAATGCAACCGAATTTTCCTAACATTGCACCGATTTTTGTACCAAACAAATTGAATTGAAAATAATTCTAATAAAAAATTAAAATAAATTGTTAATGTTTATGCAACTGTCTCTTTCCTAAAGAAAATGATATGAACATAATAAAAAAAAATGATATGAACTTACCAAAATTCGGTAAAGCATGGTTAAGAAAAAAACATAAGAATCAAAAAAAATCGATGCATTTAAATTTTGAAAAGTTGCAAACAATTTTTTCTAAATAATTGGATAAGGTGACTTTAAATATCAATGATGAACCGCTTTTGTTACCAAAAAATGTGGACACAATTTTGAATGTACATCCCGTCCAATTGTCCAAATACCAGTTTTACTTTAAAACAAAAATTGCACGTGGCTCTATCTAATTTACACAATTTTTTTGAAAGAAAAAATTATGCAATAAGATTGGAAGAATTGGTTAAAAATTATACAACTATTTGCTTCCTAAATTTGTATCCAAATTTGCACGGTTTTTAAATTAATTTGTATTTAAAATTGTTTTCATAAATAATTGACACATTTTTTGCATAAGAATCTTCAAATTTGTTACCAAAAAAGATATGATTTAAATTTTGGTAAAAAAATAAAATATGGTACAAAAAAAATGGGATTCAAATCTTGCCCTAAGAATCTCCAAATTTGTTACCAAAAAAATAGGATTTAGATATTGTTACTAAAGATTCACATGTGTTTTTTAACTTTCCATTAATTGAATATGGGGTGCTGTTGGGTCAGTACGGGGCAGTACGAGACACCTCTATACTGCTCCGGATGAAATTTCTTCCAATGTCACGTCGCCGCCGAAAACACTCTAATATCCTAAAAATAAAACATAAAAATATCAGAGTACACGAATCCATCCAATAAATAAATAAATCGAAAAATGTATAAGTGCGATAAAATTAAACATATAAAAACACGCTAATAAATATATAGAATACACACTTTTTTCGACCAATCAAATCTCCCCAAACTTAAATTGTTGCTTGTCCCCAAGCAACTTAGAACTAAAAGCACATAGATGGACAAGAAAACAAGTACATGGAATATTTGCTCAAAGTCTCACAATTCTCAAATAAGTGCATAGTTCAAACAACTCAAATTAATTAATCCGGACTCGAGATGAAATCATTTTAAGAACTCAAACAATCAAGTATCAATCCAAGTGACCACCACAGTTTATCAATCTCTATAACGAATGCATCGATCACTGCAACTCGTGACACCCCACTCTTTGCTAACAAGTCAAGTTCCCTTCTGTTTCTAGTCAAAGTCTAAATGTTTCATTCTCCAAACTCCATTTTTTTCGTAGGTAACGGCAACTCCGTCACAACCCGTGGGTTTTAGCCTTTCGTGCTCATCTAGATACGGAAATTATTGGAATTATACACTAGAGTCCCCACAGATTGGCAGATGTTGCAGCCCATAACCTCTTTTTTTTTTTTTTTTTTTGTGCCAAATGGCTTTTCAACTCCACTAATTATTCCTCCATCCTCATTATTCTTTCTTTTTCGACTATGAGACATAGAAAATCCAACTTTCAACTTCAAGTCCCCAAACTTAATCAACATTGATCAAGATAATCACAAGCACATCTCAACAACACAAATCGTCTCAAAAACAACTCACCATAAATGAATCACAAAAATATCAACCTTCACCAACAGCACCCCAGCAAATAAATCTCCTTCCCGCGTGGCGGCTCTCTCTGACTGCGTAAAATAATCCCTTTCTTTCAATGTGTCTGCTGCTTTTTATTCAATCCCAACAAATAATTCCCCTTCTAATAAGCTAATGAGTGGGCCCAAATAACTCTGACTTGATGCGTGATCCATTCCCTCAATGTGTCCTATTATTTAAATTCTTCATAAATCGTAATTAATTTCAGCTTAAAGTTAGTGGGACTTGAGCCCATTATTTCCATCACATTAATTTTGGCGGGCCAGCAGATGTCTGAATACGGGGTGTTGTTGGGTCAGTACGGGGCAGTACGAGACACCTCCATATTGCTCCGGATGAAATTCTTCCAATGTCACGTTGCTGCCGAAAACACTCCAATATCATAAAAATAAACCATAAAAATATCAGAGTACAAGAATCCATCTAATAAATAAATAAATCGAAAAATATATAAGTGCGATAAAATTAAGCATATAAAACCACGCAAATATATATATAGAATACACACTTTTTTCGACCAATCATTAATAGTAAGTCAAACATTATATTTATTTGGTCAAACTTTCTATTAGTGTATTTTTCCAACAACCTCTTTATATATATAGATATAGATTAACTCGATTTCTATGCAATCCGATTTTTTTAATAAACAATTGATGTGTTGCAATTAGGAAAAGATACATGTGATAGTATATTGCCTAATTCGAAATTTTCGATTTAATGGTAATCAGTTTTTTTTAAATAAAAAATATGAAAGAGTTTTGACTTTTGCAAACTTGCAAGCATCAGTCGCAAAATCCACGAATTTAAGGTGCATATATAGCTAATCGATTTTTTGGAATAATTTTAAAAAAATATAAAAAACTGCTAAAAATAGAATGCAATAAATGCTGGTTGACGTTTCTTGTTACTATTTTTGGTAAATAGGTTGGCTCTTTATATATATATATTTACAAACTTAAATTATAAATATATTTAAGAAATAATAATTTTTTTATTTTATTAAATATTTTTATATATATAATATGCCAAATTAATTGCGTCTTTATGAGATTCGATTTGACATATATGTTATACATAAAAAAAAAAAATTATATTTATCATTATCATTGAAATTAGATTACCTATAAATATTAATTCCAAAAAACAAAATTATTTAAACCAACTTAACTACAAAGTAGTTATATGATATAAATTAAAAAAAAAAATTAATATAAGATGATAAGTCGTGTAAGTGACTGTTTGTAGTATTTTTGGGGATTGCTAATAACCGAGTATCCAACTCAAATGAAGACTGTTCGGAGCTTCATTCACTAT